CAATTTATGTGAGGATAGTCTTCAGTTTATGTGAGGATAGTCTTCAATTTATGTGAGGATAGTCTTCAATTTATGTGAGGATAGTCTTCAATTTATGTGAGGATAGTCTTCGGTTTATGTGAGGATAGTCTTCGGTTTATGTGAGGATAGTCTTCGGTTTATGTGAGGATAGTCTTCAGTTTATGTGAGGATAGTCTTCAATTTGAATAAGGATGATTCGTAATGGGTTAACACTATTGATATACAAATATAAATAAAAGTTAAGTAAAATTGAGTTCATTTTGAAGGTCAGACTACGATTTTAAAATAACATGACATGCACAGAAGTGTTACTAGTAGTGAGGATTGTCTCAAAGTTGACACCATTTTTGAAAGTGGAATATCGAAAAAAAAAAGTATGTGAAGATCAGAAATTAGTCAATTATTCAGTGATGCAAACACAGTGAATAGTGATAAAAATAGTTTGACAAATGTTTGACAATGGTTGGAGGACCTCTGAGTACGTGCCTAATATGCGGCAGTAAACTTTTCTGCACTGTTCCTGTTATTAGCAAACAGTTGTCAGTCCTCTGTCAGAGGGTTAGTATGTATGTATGTATGTATGAATATATATATATATATATATATATATATATATATATATATATATATTATATATAATTATATATATATATATTATTTATTATCACAACTGGCCGATTCCCACCAAGCAGGGTGGCCCGAAAAGAAAAACTTTCACCATCATTCACTCCATCACTGTCTTGCCAGAAGGGTGCTTTACACTACAGTTTTTAAACTACAACATTAACACCCCTCCTTCAGAGTGCAGGCACTGTACATCCCATCTCCAGGACTCAAGTCCGGCCTGCCGGTTTCCCTGAACCCCTTCATAAATGTTACTTTGCTCACACTCCAACAGCACGTCAAGTATTAAAAACCATTTGTCTCCATTCACTCGTATCAAACACGCTCACGCATGCCTGCTGGAAGTCCAAGCCCCTCGCACACAAAACCTCCTTTACCCCTCCCTCCAACCTTTCCTAGGCCGACCCCTACCCCGCCTTCCTTCCACTACAGACTGATACACTCTTGAAGTTATTCTGTTTCGCTCCATTCTCTCCACATGTCCGAACCACCTCAACAACCCTTCCTCAGCCCTCTGGACAACAGTTTTGGTAATCCCGCACCTCCTCCTATACTTCCAAACTACGAATTCTCTGCATTATATTCACACCACAACATTGCCCTCAGACATGACATCTCCACTGCCTCCAGCCTTCTCCTCGCTGCAACATTCATCACCCATGCTTCACACCCATATAAGAGCGTTGGTAAAACTATACTCTCATACATTCCCCTCTTTGCCTCCAAGGACAAAGTTCTTTATCTCCACAGACTCCTAAGTGCACCACTCACCCTTTTCCCCTCATCAATTCTATGATTCACCTCATCTTTCATAGACCCATCCGCTGACACGTCCACTCCCAAATATCTGAATACATTCACCTCCTCCATACTCTCTCCCTCCAATCTGATATCCAATCTTTCATCACCTAATCTTTTTGTTATCCTCATAACCTTACTCTTTCCTGTATTCACTTTCAATTTTCTTCTTTTGCACACCCTAACCAAATTCATCCACCAATCTCTGCAACTTCTCTTCAGAATCTCCCAAGAGCACAGTGTCATCAGCAAAGAGCAACTGTGACAACTCCCACTTTATGTGTGATTCTTTATCTTTTAACTCCACGCCTCTTGCCAAGACCCTCGCATTTACTTCTCTTACAACCCATCTATAAATATATTAAACAACCACGGTGACATCACACATCCTTGTCTAAGGCCTACTTTTACTGGGAAATAATTTCCCTCTTTCCTACATACTTTAACTTGAGCCTCACTATCCTCGTAAAAACTCTTCACTGCTTTCAGTAACCTACCTCCTACACCATACACCTGCAACATCTGCCACATTGCCCCCTATCCACCCTGTCATACGCCTTTTCAAATCCATAAATGCCAAAAAGACCTCTTTAGCCTTATCTAAATACTGTTCACTTATATGTTTCACTGTAAACACCTGGTCCACACACCCCCTACCTTTCCTAAAGCTCCTTGTTCATCTGTTATCCTATTCTCCGTCTTACTCTTAATTCTTTCAATAATAACTCTACCATACACTTTGCCAGGTATACTCAACAGACTTTATCCCCCTATAATTTTTGCACTCTCTTTTATCCCCTTTGCCTTTATACAAAGGAACTATGCATGCTCTCTGCCAATCCCTAGGTATCTTACCCTCTTTCATACATTTATTAAATAATTGCACCAACCACTCCAAAACTATATCCCCACCTGCTTTTAAACATTTCTATCTTATCCCATCAATCCCGGCTGCCTTACCCCTTTTCATTTTACCTACTGCCTCACGAACTTCCCCCACACTCACACTGGCTCTTCCTCACTCCTACAAGATGTTGTTCCTCCTTGCCCTATACACGAAATCACAGCTTCCCTATCTTCATCAACATTTAACAATTCCTCAAAATATTCCCTCCATCTTCCCAATACCTCTAACTCTCCATTTAATAACTCTCCTCTCCTATTTTTAACTGACAAATCCATTTGTTCTCTAGGCTTTCTTAACTTGTTAATCTCACTCCAAAACTTTTCTTATTTTCAACAAAATTTGTTGAAAACATCTCACCCACTCTCTCATTTTCATCTCTTTTTACATTGCTTCACCACTCTCTAACCTCTCTCTTTTTCTCCATATACTCTTCCCTCCTTGCATCACTTCTACTTTGTAAAAACTTCTCATATGCTAACTTTTCTCCCTTCACTACTCTCTCTCACATCATCATTCCAGCAATCGCTCCTCTTCCCTCTACCGCACCCACTTTCCTGTAACCACAAACTTCTGCTGAACACTCTACACACTACATTTTAAACCTACCCCATACCTCTTCGACCCCATTGCCTATGCTCTCATTAGCCCATCTATCCTCCAATAGTGTTTATATCTTACCCTAACTGCCTCCTCTTTTAGTTTATAAACCTTCACCTCTCTCTTCCTGATGCTTCTATTCTCCTTGTATCCCATCTACCTTTTACTCTCAGGTAGCTACAACTAAAAGTGATCTGATATATCTGTGGCCCCTCTATAACATGTACATCCTGAAGTCTACTCAACAGTCTTTATCTACCAATACATAATCCAACAAACTACTGTCATTTCGCCCTACATCATATCTTGTATACTTATTTATCCTCTTTTCTTAAAATATGTATTACCTATAACTAAACCCCTTTCTATACAAAGTTCAATCAAAGGGCTCCATTATCATTTACACCTGGCACCCCCAAAAACTTACTACCACACCCTCTCTAAAAGTTTCTCCTACTTTAGCATTCAGGTCCCCTACCACAATTACTCTCTCACTTGGTTCAAAGCTCCTATACATTCACTTACATCTCCCAAAATCTCTCTCCTCCTCTGCATTCCTCTCTTCTCCAGGTACATACACGCTTATTATGACCCACTTCTCGCATCCAACCTTTACTTTAATCCACATAATTCTTGAATTTACACATTCATATTCTCTTTTCTCCTTCCATAACTGATCATTCAACATTACTGCTACCCCTTCCTTTGTTCTAACTCTCTCAGATACTCCAGATTTAATACCCATTTATTTCCCCCCACCGAAACTCCCCTACCCCCTTCAGCTTTGTTTCGCTTTGGGCCAGGACATCCAACTTCTTTTCATTCATAACATCAGCAATCATCTGTTTCTTGTCATCCCACTACATCCACGACACATTTAAGCATCCCAGTTTTATAAAGTTTTCTTCTTCTCTTTTTTAGTAAATGTCTACAGGAGAAGGGGTTACTAGCCCATTGCTCCCGGCATTTTTAGTCGCCTCATACGACACGCCATGGCTTACGGAGGAAAGATTCCTTTCCACTTCCCCATGTGACAATAGAAGAAATAAAGAGGAACAAGAGCTATTTAGAAAAAGGAGAAAAAACCTAATGCATGTATATATATATGCATGTGCACGTCTGTGAAGTGTGACAAAGTGTAAGTAGGAGTAGCAAGATATCCCTGTTATCTAGCGTGTTTATGAGACAGAAAAAGAAACACAGCAATCCTTACCATCATGCAAAACAGTTACAGGTTTCTGTTCCACAGTCATTCTGGCAGGACGGTTGTACTTCCTGGGTGGTTGCTGTCTACCAACATACTACCTATATATATATATATATTATATATATATATATATATATATATTATATATATTTATATATATATATATATATATATATATATAATATATATAATATTATATATATATAATTATATAATAATATATATATAATTATATATAATATATATATTATATATATATAATATATATATATTATTATATATATAATATATATATATATATATATATATATATATATAATATATTTATAATATATATTATATTATATATATATATATATATATATATATATAATATATATATAACATATATATATATATATATAATAAATAATATATATATAATATATATATATATAAACTCAATAGAAAAATGTAAGATTTTACATCAAAAAGAAATTTAGCGAAAATTTTTTGGTTAATATGCTACTGACCTCATGTTGTAGACACGTTCTGGTAGTGATAGATGATGACAGTGGTAGATGGTAGTGGTTGAGGTCGATGGTGGTTGTGGTAGTGGTGGGTGGGTGGTTATTGAGAGGGGCTGCCTACCCCCTCTGTCCCTGGGAAGCCTAGCCCAAGCCACCTCCCCCCCTAGGCCTACTCACCCCCACGTCCTCAGTTTCTACATCCTCCCACACTAATTATAACCTCAATTTCCATTATAACTTCGCAATTATCCAGTTTTACCACACTGAACGGCCCTCCCTCCCCCCAAAAAACACTTAAAAAAATTTCATCCAAAACCAGTGTTTCACTAATACAAACTGCGCCACTTTTCCCTGGGCGGTATTTTCTCGCATAGGTGATTGTAGTGTGCAGTGTTCCCTCACTGAGAAGCCCTCACACAGCAGGTGAGAGTGCCAGGTGTGGGGAGGGGACGAGCACCTCCTCTCCCCTGGGCGTGCTCACGGCCAGTGAATGAGTCGATACAAGCACAGCCTGCCTCCTCTCCTTCATACTTGCTACACTCTCACTGGTAACTCATTTCATTTATCCTAAGCGGAAGTTTTATTCAATCCTTTGACATTTTTGCATATATAAAACAGGAAGTCATGTCAGTAGATTTTATTTAATAGCCCCATTTTTGCTAGAGTATTACCATAAAATTGGCAGGTTATTGAAGGAGGTAGGAGAGGCAGGCAGCTGTGAGAGCCTCACCGCCGTACTACACTAGCGTGGTTCACCTCTAATCTCTTTCACTCAACTTCGTTACTTCCACAATGTTTCGTATGAGGGCTTACTATGTGCGTAAAGCCTCTAAACGATGGATATTTGCCAGGATACATTGTGTAGCATGTCAGCATGGTGATGGTACACGTGAGGGCTCAGCACTGAGCCACATAACACATCACACTGACAGTAACACAAGATATATTAAGAATCATCTGCAGTGAACGACTCCACAAGCAGAGGTAATTTTTCTTACATGGCGTAAAATACATAGGTTAAACCAGACCTCTCATTTGTAACATATATACTCGTATATTCCTTTTCCAGATGATCTATATATAATATATATATATATATATATATATATATATATATATATATATATATATATAATATATATATATATATATATATATATATATATATATATATATATATATATATATATATATATATATATATATATATATATATATAAAATGATATAATATCCCCATTATTTAGTTCGATATTAAAACTGGGATCTTTGTTTTGAGCTCTGGGTGAGATATAATATATATATATATATATATATATATATATATATATATATATATATATATATATATATATATATAATGATATAATATCCCCATTATTTAGTTCGATATTAAAACTGGGATCTTTGTTTTGAGCTCTGGGTGAGGTATCGTAGTGGGGGAGGGATACCGCTGATATCTGGGGTCTGGAGTGGGGGTATCGTTGTGGGGGGTTACCCCTCACGTGGGGTTACCTGTAGGTTACCTGTATTCACCTCCGGTGGTCACCGCCCCGTGGACTGGTCCTGGACCAGACCTCCTGGTAGCTGACCTGATAAATTTATCAGACGGAGCCCGCCGCCCGCAGTTCAAGGTATGCACCACAGCCTGGCTAATCAGGAACTGTGTTGAGAAGTTTGTCGAATTCCCTCTTGAAGAGAGCCAGAGTCCCGTTGTTATTACCCCTTATGCATGAAGGCAGGTTATTGAAGACTTGAGCTCACTTAACACATTGATCAGAGATATCCTTCACTATCTGCCAATTCTTTTATTATATTTGGTAATTTTGGTGTCGTTTGGTTGCATCAAAGAAAATAGAAAAAATACTACCATGAGGATATGCACCGATAAAACTAAACAAAATCACATTGTTATACATTTCTCTTTCCATCACTGATTGTTACTTATCCTTCACTTAGCCCTAATGTTTAATATATCATGGTTAATATACCATGGTGAATATACCATGGTGAATATATCATAGTTAATATATCATAGTTAATATATCATAGTTAATATATCATAGTTAATATATCATAGTTAATATATCATAGTTAATATATCATAGTTAATATATCATAGTTAATATATCATAGTTAATATATCATAGTTAATATATCATAGTTAATATATCATAGTTAATATATCATAGTTAATATATCATAGTTAATATATCATAGTTAATATATCATAGTTAATATATCATAGTTAATATATCATAGTTAATATATCATAGTAATATATCATAGTTAATATATCATAGTTAATATATCATAGTTAATATATCATAGTTAATATATCATAGTTAATATATCATAGTTAATATATCATAGTTAATATATCAGTTAATATAACATAATAATATAACATAGTTAATATAACATAGTTAATATATCATGGTTAACTAAGATAAACAAGGTATATATATATATATAAGATCACTTGGAGAAACATTAACCTGTGGTGCTGCTCACCCAGGCGAATCTTTCTTAAGAAAATTTGACATCAAAAACATCATCATAATAAATATAATTCTTAAACTGGTGGACTGGTTAGCCAGTGGAAGGTCTCGGTCAGATGACCAAAAGCTCCAGCTCCTGGTCATTATGACTAAGACCCACACCAGGAAACACTTGTCCTGTTACCTGACATATGTCAGGACACACTTGTCTCCTGACAATAAAACATCAAAATATAGGTTCCCCTAGTTGAAATATATATTATGAATACTTGCAAACTCACTTGTTTAGCAGCAGGAACAGATAATCTGCCTTAAAACACCGTCCACGACCTCCACCACACACTGACATCTCAGTTTCCCTCCATTTCTTGAATTTTGCACTGTAACAACAGTCTTCTGAATTTTTTTTAACAAGCTCTCAAATCCATTTATTGTCCTTTATTAATATTAATATTAATTATTATAATAAACTATAACTAGAGAACATTAACCAGTTACATAATAATGAAAGTAATATTTGAGGCATAATAAGATACCTGGTGAAAACGTATTGGAACATTGTGATCAAGAAAGCATCAAGAAGCGTCAGTCTTAATATCTTTATATATTATCAATTAATTATGTCTTATCAGTCCTTCTGAGTATGTTTCAGTAAAACAATGATGATGTGTTGACACTATACTATTTCTTCCTTGTACATATTAAGTCAGAAAGAATAATAATTTACAGTGGAAGGTCTCGGTCAGATGACCAAAAGCTCCAGCTCTAGGTCATATGACCCAAGATTTGCTTCACTAGACAAGCTGCATAAATTACTTAAACAACCATTAAATAAAACGAAGGTTCAGTATAATTTTGTTTTTGCAATCAGAAGTTGACGTAACATTGTCAGAAAGGAACTTTCAAATTCAAATTCAAAGTTTATTCTCTATAAGGATTACAATGCTGAGTTTACAGAATCTGGTTATTGTGTGGTTTACATGTAGTAAAATACTAATTACAGCGGGGGCCACTAGAACACCTAGCATGGCTAGGAAAGAAGAACAAATAGCAACTAGCAGAGACATTATCCAGCATAATGATATGTTTTAAGCCAAACATATGTATGGAGGAAATAAGGTCAGTAGACTGCAAGATGTTGTTACTGCTAGGCTAGGTTATAATTATTTCTGGCAGTACTGTTGTTACTGCTAGGCTAGGGTATAATTATTTCTGGCAGTACTGTTGTTACTGCTAGGCTAGGGTATAATTATTTCTGGCAGTACTGTTGTTACTGCTAGGCTAGGTTATAATTATTTCTGGCAGTACTGTTGTTACTGCTAGGCTAGGGTATAATTATTTCTGGCAGTACTGTTGTTACTGCTAGGCTAGGTTATAATTATTTCTGGCAGTACTGTTGTTACTGCTAGGCTAGGTTATAATTATTTCTGGCAGTACTGTTGTTACTGCTAGGCTAGGGTATAATTATTTCTGGCAGTACTGTTGTTACTGCTAGGCTACGTTATAATTATTTCTGGCAGTACTGTTGCTACTGCTAGGCTAGGGTATAATTATTTCTGGCAGTACTGTTGCTACTGCTAGGCTACGTTATAATTATTTCTGGCAGTACTGTTGTTACTGCTAGGCTACGTTATAATTATTTCTGGCAGTACTGTTGCTACTGCTAGGCTACGTTATAATTATTTCTGGCAGTACTGTTGTTACTGCTAGGCTAGGGTATAATTATTTCTGGCAGTACTGTTGTTACTGCTAGGCTAGGGTATAATTATTTCTGGCAGTACTGTTGCTACTGCTAGGCTACGTTATAATTATTTCTGGCAGTACTGTTGTTACTGCTAGGCTAGGGTATAATTATTTCTGGCAGTACTGTTGCTACTGCTAGGCTACGTTATAATTATTTCTGGCAGTACTGTTGTTACTGCTAGGCTACGTTATAATTATTTCTGGCAGTACTGTTGCTACTGCTAGGCTAGGGTATAATTATTTCTGGCAGTACTGTTGCTACTGCTAGGCTAAGGTATAATTATTTCTGGCAGTACTGTTGCTACTGCTAGGCTACGTTATAATTATTTCTGGCAGTACTGTTGCTACTGCTAGGCTAGGGTATAATTATTTCTGGTAGTACTGTTGCTACTGCTAGGCTACGTTATAATTATTTCTGGCAGTACTGTTGTTACTGCTAGGCTAGGGTATAATTATTTCTGGCAGTACTGTTGCTACTGCTAGGCTAGGGTATAATTATTTCTGGTAGTACTGTTGCTACTGCTAGGCTACGTTATAATTATTTCTGGCAGTACTGTTGCTACTGCTAGGCTACGTTATAATTATATTCTGGCAGTACTGTTGTTACTGCTAGGCTACGTATAATTATTTCTGGTAGTACTGTTGTTACTGCTAGGCTATGTATAATTATTTCTGGCAGTACTTGCTATTGCTAGGCTAGGGTATAATTATTTCTGGTAGTACTGTTGCTACTGCTAGGCTACGTTATAATTATTTCTGGCAGTACTGTTGTTACTGCTAGGCTAGGGTATAATTATTTCTGGCAGTACTGTTGCTACTGCTAGGCTAGGGTATAATTATTTCTGGCAGTACTGTTGCTACTGCTAAGGCTAGGGTATAATTATTTCTGGCAGTACTGTTGCTACTGCTAGGCTACGTATATAATTATTTCTGGCAGTACTGTGTTACTGCTAGGCTAGGTATAATTATTTCTGGCAGTACTGTTGCTACTGCTAGGCTACGTTATAATTATTTCTGGCAGTACTGTTGTTACTGCTAGGCTAGGGTATAATTATCTCTGGCAGTACTGTTGCTACTGCTAGGCTACGTTATAATTATTTCTGGCAGTACTGTTGCTACTGCTAGGCTACGTTATAATTATTTCTGGCAGTACTGTTGTTACTGCTAGGCTACGTTATAATTATTTCTGGTAGTACTGTTGTTACTGCTAGGCTATGTTATAATTATTTC